ACCCCATTGTTGTCGGGAAGCACCTGAAGCTAGACTAGTAGCTCACATCACCAACATATAGCCGAGCTGGCAAGCGAGAGAAGCACCCGAATCCTGAAGCACAGATGAGCAGGCACTTACGGCTCGTGAGGAGCCTAGCGAGAAAACGTGGATGGGGAATAGTTTTCAGCTTGCATAGCAAGCATTGTGGTGCACAAGAACTTTAGCCCAACGAGGTTAGGACAAGGCAATTTTTGTCCCACAACTTCTACAACACATATATAAAACTTAAATATGCATATCTTATAGGTTATCTTACACACTTGGAACGCAGAGGAACCCATTGAAAGTTCGGAAAGCTTAGAATTCGTCTTGAGTTCTTGTTCTTCCCTTCTTTTATTGATTTTTATGTATTCTTGGGATTTAATTGGGTTTTCTATCATGATGATGTGTATCTAAATTCTTAGTTCTAGGGTTATGGGCTTTACATGAATGTTGATGTTTGAAGCTAGAATTGATGATTGTTGGTTTTATCATATTGATTTATTTATTCAATCCCATTCTTAAGTATTTCATTGTTTGTCCAACGATTCAATACTATCTACCAATCTTGAATTGAACTCGAAAGAGGAAATTCTTGATCGCAATAGGATTGAATATGACTAGTTCTTGAACCTAGACATTAGAGAATGGACTCGTAATAGAATAAAAATATATCTAATTGTCTTGCTTAATTATTTCATAGGAATTATTAATGTATTCTGGTTAATTCTAATTCCATAAAAATATAGGTGTTAGGTTAACTTGAGCATGCGAGAAAGGACTAGAAAGATTCTTATGAGTAATATTAACCCTGTCAATTAATAAACCAGATAGATCAATTAGTCAATTTAAGCATAGATAACTCAATAGGTACGTTAGCTGACCCTTAGCCCCGAAATATTCTTTCTCATTTATTTCAACCTACGCTTGCCTATTTGCTTCTCGCGATTGCTAGTTTTAATTGCTTGCTTTATAATCTTTGCAGCGGTATAATTAATCACAATCAATCTTGGGAAAATCAATTTGAATAAATAATTAGCATTCATTTAATTTTGATAATATTTAATCATAAGTCTCTATGGGACAATACTTGATCTCACTATTTTATTACTTGTCAATCGCGTATACTTATGTGTTATTGGGAGCAACAATCATAAACACCAAAAACTTGAGGGAATAATCAATCTAAAAAATTTCTCTCCCTTGTTCTTTATTTTCTCGCATGACACCAGAGCATTGGTGACAAACTAGTCATTGTCCAGTTACTACTGACATACAAGGAAAAGATTTGGATGTCGTGCAAATTTGCTAACCAACCCAAAGACTGTTCAATAGATACTTGCCTTTTGTGGGTGTGAGCACAAACCAACACTATCATAAGGACCGGATCCCTCCTTCAAACATATTCCAACCAGCCTTGTCATGCACCACCAACTTCTCTGTATCTCCTACTCACTCGTCTGCGACTTCTGTATTTATCTTCCAACATCTTTGTGTATATGGGTCGACTAAGTATTTCGAGTCAACTTATCTTGGTTCCAAAGTATTTTGGCGACAAGAACCCTTGAGTCTGAATAATTAGAATTTTCCCACAAGTGTTTTCCAATATCTCGCGAGTTTTAGATAGTGTTTCTTGACTGTAGAGAGTGCAGGCTTACAAGGTTGCTTCTCTATTCTTCTGATTTCCAACAAGATTTTGAGTGCTCGTTCAGTACGTCTGAACTTTCTAGCGACTTCTTTTAATAGCTCCTAATGGTTAACATACTCTAACCAGCTTATTATGCCTCTTTACTAAAGACATCTCTCACACTCATCTAATATCAATCATAGTTGATGTTTTCAGTTCCAAAAATGGGGGCCTAGTAATTCGAGTCTTATGATTATCACAGAACCTTGATAGGTAGCACAAACTAATTATCGTAGTTTTCTTCTGTTCGGTTATGGTATAAATGACAAGGTGTTTGTTTTTGAGAAACCCATATTGGTGGATGGATGCGTTCTTAACCTCGGACTTTTTTCTTCCCGCCTTTCCCCCAACTAAAATCACTCTACGCACTCGGTATCTTCATGAGAAATTCTTACCCCATGAGCTAGCTTTTGAGTTGACTTGGGCAGCTAAGGTCCATTTTTTAACATGGTACCAGAGTGAGGCTCATCCTTGTTATTGTTTTTTCTCTATGTTGGGCCCCCATATTATATTGTCCATGCTCCAGTTGGCAGGCCTGGGCGTGAGGGGTGTTTAGGATCCCACATTGGCAGAGGATGGGTTGTTTGTCTCCTTATTTGTTCCTGAGCAATCCTCGCCTCTGAGCTAGCTTTCAGGTTGAGTTAGACCCTAGGTTATGTGAAGCACCCCACAGTAGTAGACGAATGATTGTGGTCTCTTTATATGGTCTTGAACAATGATGGAGCAATTTAATGAGTTGATGCCCATCTCCACAGACAAGTGGAGTAATGATAGAAGATGTTTTTAGTCCTTACACTTGTTGAGCTTCAATTGGATTTTGACTCCATGCATGACTAAGTCTTGGCTAGTTTTATTATACCAACCGTGGATGACTTGTTGCACCTCCTGCTACACCACCTTATCACATGGTGATCTCATCTTCAACAAGTGACTCGTTTGTCGTAGCATCTCAGGCTATTGATTGGGTGGTTGTTTTGGAAAATCCCGACCAAAGTTGTACTTATTGCCATATGATGTGTCACTATTTCTTTTTCCTTGACAGCGGCTGTCTTTATATACCATCCTTTGCTGCCTGGTGTACTACCATTTCCTGCAAATCTCTCCTACACCTTCTAAAGCATATCTCATCACCTGGCATATGCACATCAGAATATTTTGACTAATATGGATGATTGTCATGAAGTTTTTCTGCCTCCAATCCATCTCTATCAATTTGATGGCCCCTCTTTGTTTACATCGAAAGTTTTCTTTCTGACTATGAATAAAAATTTCCCTCCCATAGTCAAAAGGGAATCAGTGAAATGCAGCTAAGTTTTTTATTCAATTACCTTTCTCATTGCCGCATATTAAGCTTAAATTACTCAGTTATTATTTCAAGACCCAACTAAGTTGAAAGAAAAGGTTTTGAACAGTAATGTAACTGAGATGTGATCGACAGGGAACTCCTACTATGCCTAAATTCCAAGCAAGTTAGGATTGGCTATATGAGTCCTCACTGATCATGTTGCTCCATTTCAGCTCATCTCAGACCGATATGCCAATCAAAGCTTAGAATCATCCGAAATTCATAAGACACAAGGTAACTACAACAGAAAGTTGTGCAACAAGCAATATAGCTTTGCGCAAGAGAAAACTAAGAGAACTAACCCACCCCACAGAACATATACCATGGTCTTGAAATGCCTAGAATAACACTCACTCTATCTGCACTACTGACCATTTCAGAACAATCTGGACCGTCATAGTGTAGTTAAGCCTATTGCTTAATCTCAAAATGCTATAGAGTATTAAGAACCAAGATTCTTAACATACAAAATGTTTGACAGACCATCATGATATCATAGCACAAGGACGAGATAACAGAAAATGAATTGTAGCTTACTTGGTTACAAATAACTAATCAATCCACATGTATAATCATTTGGAAGGACCAAATGCAGCAGTAACAAGAGAACTGTGTGAAGACAAAGAATGAACATCTACACAGGATACTCACATCTGTCCATTTCAGAACAGGCTAAGAATGGAAATTTAGATGACCTAAAGTACCAGATTCACAGGAGGCACTTCTAAACTGTAACCAGTTTATTTGCTAAACCCAAATCCCTGAGAGAAAAAGCATGTGATTTACTCTATTAAAAGATTTGTGAAGGAAACCTAAGAATCTCGCAAGACTTGCTATTTAGCAACCTCAAAATATTTACTATCCTTATTTGTTGACTACGTATGCACGTGATTGGAAGGACAGGGGACGTTTGCAGGATGGCCTGTTTATCAGACGAACTAAAATTAAAGAATCAAATTTCTTCATTCTAAGCTGCATGACGAAGCTGTGGTTGTTTCAATGGAAGTGACCATTTATAAAGGCTAATCTAAGTTTAATGAGGTCCCACAGTCTATCGAGGTTGGGACCTCATTATAAGTTTTTATAAAGGAGCTGACAGCTGCAAATAATGTAAATTTGGCAGTCTCCCACTATCCAAAAATATGAGAATTGATGTTCCTTTGCATTTCCCTTTTGTTGCAATTTTAACAAGTGATATTATCACATTTTCTAAAGGAGCCCTCAAACATAAGATCAACTTGTTCTAAACGACATTCAATCATTGGTATTCATGCAAAACAATGATAAAATTTCTGCATTCGAAAAGATGTTCTCATAAATATCCAAAAATCTGAAACACATGAGAGTTTGGACCTGGAGGAAGAAACTGTTTATATTTCTTTGATCCCTGAAAGTGAATTCAGCATCAAAGCCAATTTAATTATATGTAATTAAGGTAATCATTACTCAGTTAAACTTACACAATATCTATTTTGGTATCCAAAAGTTATGCAATATCTATTAAATTGAATATCAGAATCACGTGCTAGTCTTTGCATATTCCAGACTTATTTTAGCCCATAATCATATTATTCACAAACAACATCTCATGTACTTTGACGAGAAAAGTAACTCTCTCTTGGTGGAAGTAGCATTTTTGCCATAACAAAAGCAGCCAACTACCAGAGAGCATCTATTCGAGATTCTTCATTTCCTTTTACATACATGGCATGGTTGGATAATTTTGTATAGATCATTAATAACACAACTTCCTAGAGATTCATATCCACCTGTTTCAAAAACGTATAGGCAACTGTGAATTCAAGTGCAATTAATCTAGAAGTTAATCCCAAGCTGCTATATGTGCAAAAGCACATCTTTTATCAATTAAAAATTGTACTTCTATCTGGAATCTAGGCAGAAGCTTACGATCAAATACAAAATTTCAAGACCAGAATCACATAGTACCTCATGATCTTTTGTCCTCCCCTCTCGTTTAAAAAATCCCCCACTGGAAAATGCAAATTTAGTAAGAACAAGTACATGGTATAGACTAAAAAAGAAAAGGCAAAGGAGTGGTGCTAAGCGGAAATGAATGAATAGAAGCAAGTTTTACTAGACCTACCTCGTCCGACCAGCTGCTGAAAAACGTTCTTGATAATGAACAGAAAGAGGGAAAAAATCAGAAGGCTCGCTTGGGACATCAGCTAAACAAACAGTTGTATAGATAATCTACAAAACAAAAACAAAAAAACATCTCAATATAAGCATACTGATCCAGGATATTGCCAGGGATAGATCTTACAAGCAACATTTCCACCATCTAAGTTAAATGCTGAAAGGACAACTTTTTTTTTTGATAGGCAATACTGAAAGGACAACTTGATGCTGATTGAGACAAAATTACCACCCATTAAATAAGCTGTTAAGGGGTGCATCATGATCGCGTCAATGTTTGAATGGATCAACAGGTGGAGAACTATAAAAACTTCCATTCTTCAAGTGAAGCATATAAGAAGTTAAGAAACTCTATGGTCCATCAACATATTTCATGATGCAATTGCATAAAAGCATAGAAAGAAGGGGTGAACAATTTGTAGAGAAAACCAAGAGTTTAATCAATCAACTACACCTCATTTGGATGCAAGTTGGGTCCTCTGTAGCTATTATGCTCTATACGGTTGTCTCATTCCACTACTTCTTTGCTACTCCCTCCATCCCAATTTATGTGGCGATCTTTCCTTTTCAGTCAGTCCCAAAAAGAATGTCACCTTTTCTTAGTTAGAAATAATTTATCTTTAGGATTTCTACTTTACCCTCAATGAATTGATTTACAGTCACACAAATATCCCCCTCCCCCCACTTCATGCTCCTTGCGAATCTGTTGAACCATCAATTCCTTCTGGTTTGAAACTTTGAAGACGTAGGGGAAAGAGTCCCTCAGAGTATCCTCTCCACACCACCTATGATTCCAAAAGTTGATTCTCCTTCCATCCCCCACCCTGTAAGTGATGTTGCCATTGAAGGCTTCCCAATTCTTCTTGATGCTCCTCCACATGCCACACCCGAAAGGTGTTGTGATCGCCTTGGTCCTCCAACCCCCTTTCGTGGAATTGTACTTTTCTACTATGACCTCCCTCCATAGAGCATGCTCTTCTACCATGAATCTCCACGACCACTTCTTCAACAAAGCTCTGTTGAATACCCTAATATCTTTTACTCCAAGTCTATCCCACTTCTTAGGGGAAGTGATTGTCTGCCAATTCACTAGATGAAACTTTCTAGTTCCATCCGTCGCATCCCGAAGAAAATTTCTTTGAAGTCGCTCCAGTTTTTCTGTGATGCTCACAGGAGCTTGCAACAGGGACAACTAATAGGTAGGCATACTCGATAAAGTGCTTTTAATAAGCACTTCCCTACCGCCTTTTGACAAGTACCATTTCTGCCAGCCTGCTAATCTTTTTACAACTCTTTCGATCACTAGATTCCAAACCGTAGTATCCTTATGCGAAACACCCAATGGAAGACCTAGGTAATTAGTGGGAAGAGAGCCCACCTTACATCTGAGAACATAAGACAAAGCATCGATGTTAGCAACCTCACCTACCAGGAAAATCTCACACTTGCCGAGGTTGATTTTGAGTCCTGATACTATCTGAAACCACTGCAGGACCTGCTTCAGGTAGGTCAACTGATCCATATCGGCATCACAGAAAACCAGGGTGTCATCCGCAAAAAGCAAATGAGAGACTCTTCGGGCATAGGCACCCCGATCGGAGCTGAGAATCCTCGCAAGAAGCCTCTGCCCGCCGCACGATTCAACATTTTACTCAGAGCATCCATCACTAGAATGAATAGCATGGGGATAGGGGGTCACCTTGCCTGAGACCCCTGGAGCTGCCAAAGAAACCACACAGGCTACCATTAACCAGGACAGAGAATCTGACTGAGGAAATGCAGAACTTGATTCATCCCTTCCATCTTACCCCAAACCCCATCCGCATAATAATGAAATCCAGAACTCCCAATTGACATGGTCGAAAGCCTTCTCAATGTACAACTTGCACAGTAAGTCGGGTTCTCTATTTTTCCTTCTAGAGTCTACAAGTACCAAAGCAGCGTCCAGGATCTGCCTACCTTCCACAAATGCATTCTAGGAGGACGAAACAGACACATCAAGAACTTTCTTGAGTCTAATGGATAGCACTTCAGAAATAATCTTGTAAATGCTCCCCACGAGACTAATAGGCATGTAGTCTCTGATACAAGATGCACCTTCTTTTTTAGGCACAATGGTAATGAAAGAAGCATTGATACTTCTCTCGAAAACACCATTCACGTGGAAGTATTCAATGGCTTCCATTAACTCCCCCTTAATGGTGTCCCAACAGAGCTGGAATAAGGCCAAGGAGAAACCATCAGGCCAGGGGGCCTTATCACCAGCACAACTCGACACAGCCTCGTGCACCTCCTCCTCCTCGAAAGCCCGTGCTAGCCACTCACTGTCTCCCTCCCCTATGTGGTTGAACTCTATTCCCCCCAACGTAGGCCTCCAAGTAACTTCCTCTTTGTATAAGTTCTCATAAAATCCCAATATCGCCCCATTTACCTCCTCCTCGCCCTCAATCCTCACCGCATCCACAACTAAAGACTCTATGAAGTTTCTCCTTCGATTTGCAACCGCAACCCTGTGGAAAAACTTGGTATTCGAATCCCCCTCCTTTAACCAGACCGCCCTCAATTTTTGCCGCCAACTAGTCTCCTGAGCTATTGCTAACTCGACTATTTCCTTCTTAACCTCCCCAGTCTTGCTTCCTCGGATTCATATAACTCTCTCGCCCCTTCTCCTCTCTCTAATTCCCCCCATTCATGCATAAGCTCCCTCATTTTAACCTCTACCCTCCCAAAAACCTCCTTATTCCACCTAATAATATCTCCCTTGAGCAATTTAAGTTTCTTCGAAAGACGGAATGAAGGTGTCCCTGATGCCCCGTAGCTTGTCCACCATTCTTTCACTTTGTCACCAAATCCTGGTACTTTCAACCACATGTTCTCGAATCGGAAAGGAGCACGCACCCCCCTCCCTCTGCATCCATCTAGCAAGATAGGCAAATGATCCGAAGTCAACCTAAGTAAAGGAATCTGCAGCACATTCAGCCCCAGCTCATCCCAGGAGGACGATATCAGAAATCTATCAAGTCTAGACCATGAATTGGAATCCTCCGCCCTGGCCCAAGTAAACCTTTCCCCTGACAGAGGAAGGTCAATGAGAAAGTGATCATTGATGATGTCAGAAAACTCCTCCATGGCCCTCGAAATCAAACTACACTCTAATCTCTCCTCCGGGAATCTAATAGTATTAAAGTCTCCCCCTAGAACCCATGGAATGTTCCATTCTCCCATAACATTGGCCAGTTCCTCCCAGAAAGACACTTGGGACCCTTCTCCTACCGGTCCGTACACTCCCCCAAATCCCCACTCCACCCCACTCACTCTATCTTTGACAAGAGCTGCTAAAGAAAAAATTCTCTTCTTAATCTCCTTTACCTCCAAGCTTCTATCATCCCACATAAGAAGAATGCCCCCGGCACTTCCCGTTGCTGGGACCCAGTCATATTTTACCCAACTACCTCCGCAGACACTCCTCACAATCGCATCCGACAAAACTTCCATTTTGGTCTCCTGGAAACAAACTAGGTTGGCACCCCACTCTCTAACTCCCGCTTTGATGATAGCCCTTTTGTTTGGGTCATTCATCCTAGTCACATTCCATGAAAGAATCTTAACTTCCATAAGTAACAATATCCCCCTTTTCTCCACCTCACCCCCCTTAGCCGAGCTCCCTTCCTCCCTGTCACACACCCGGTCCCTTCTCTGGTACATCGCTACATCCCCTAAATTATTTTGCTTAACACCTTGACCCAGCACCCTCCCTGCACCATCATAAAAAGATGGTTGCTCAATCTCCCTCAACAGTTCTAACACCCTATCTTCCCTTCAAAAGAAACACCTAAAAACTTCCCAAAAGTTTAGTAGTTTATCCTCTATCCAGAAGGACATATCCCCTCCCCTAATCCGTGACGAAATTGGATAGGCGTCTTCTATACGTACCCTTTCCTTGCTCCTACCGGAGGAATACAAGACCATAGCATTGCTAGCAATAGGAACTTTAGGTGCCGGAAGGATCTCACCATTTCCTTGAAAGGCACCAGCCTCTGAGATTAACACCCCGCTGTTATAGAAATGTCCAGAAACGCCAGTAGTGTAGCGTGAAGGAAGAGAGCATGGAGCCCTTGGCGGCATATTAACTGGAATTGATGGTCCGGCACTAACATCAATTGGAGCATGCGCAACAATCTCCCCCGAAGAAGGAGCTTGAAGTGTAACCTCAGCACAGCTAAACACAGGAGAAGGTGAGGGGGCGATGAAGCTGGGTCCATCAGAGGCGGGAGGCCGTGGAATAACACCACCAGCTTTAGCCGATGTTGCCCCTGAAGCAGCGCTCATCGAAGAGGGGCGCTTGACACTAGAGCTCGGTGAAGAAATACCACTGTGAGAGGCACCATTGGCCGTAGAAGGAGCGACTGTTCTCATATGCTTAGGAGCCTTATCAGGTGCAGCTTGAAATAATTTGGGCCCCTTAGGATCAATTTTAATAGAATTGGGAAAAGTTGTTGGGCCCATGTGTGGAGGCCCAGGCCTATACTTGATGAAAACTTGCCCGGCCCTATGATAATTAAAAGAGGACTGGCCATTCTGCCTTTCCAGCCCACATCACTAACCCAGGAGCATTCACGTCTTTTCCTCCCGATAAGATTTTGTCTTCTCCTCCCAAATTCAAACCCTCCATCTCTTCTCGATCTAACTTTTAATTCCTGCTTAGCCCACTGATGCAGTGAGCCCTCCCCTCCCTTCAGAGACTGATTTCCCTTCCCCTCTTTTCTATTTGACCTTCCCTTTTCTTCTGCCACTATCACAGGCATAAAGATAGGGTGAAATTCAGGGCTCAACCAAACTCTATAACTCAAGTAGCCATCTTCCATCACAAAGAGACAGGGATTCTGCCCCCTTTCCTCACCACAATTCTCACTCGCGAGAGATCGTGTAGGCTGCAGGTGACATCAATAAAAACCCCAAAGATTTCCCCAATCTTCTTGAATAGATCAAGACATCAAAGATGCACCAGGAGACCCACCATGTTGACCACCAATGTTTCGCCAGTGAAACGAGAATCGAGAAGCCCATAGTGCTCCACCCATCTGTCTAGATTTAAGTTCTCATCGAACCACCTATTTCCTCTAAGAAGAATTTCTGAAGCTTGAGACCCGTCGACAAATCGAAAGAGATATTGCATGTCCCCCAGTTGCGATATTTTTAGCCCGTCCTTGACGTTCCATACCTCTGTTGCCCAGCTCCTAACAGCCTCTGAAGAACCGACACATTTGGAGAAAGACCCAATCAGACAAGATTCCAAGAAACTCTTGCGCCAGAGAGTGTGCTCCTCAGACAGCGAGAAGTGCGGCTCCTGCCCTACGTCAAGCTTTCGATGGCATCTTCTCCCAAGTTCTAGGGCTGGCCAAGAAGCAACTTTGATGAAAGACATGTTTTCCAGTTTTCTAGATTCTAGGGAGAAGTAGGAGCTTCTATCTGTAGAGTCCATCATAACTAAACCAAAAGCCTCGCTAGGAGGCTGACTGAAGAAGAGGAAGTGAGAGGAAGTGAAATCTGGTTGGGAAAAGCCTCACCCGTCGCCGGAAAATAGCAAAAGTAGTCGGATTTTGGAGGTTGGTGGATGGGTGGGGTCGGAACAGCCTCACGAAGAGGCTGTCTGAAGAAGAAAAGTTGAGATCAGGCCAGAAAAAGCGTCACGCACCGGCGCGTGGCTGAGAGATCGCCGGAGCTGAGCCGCGCGTGACAGCGTGTGGGGGGTCGTACGCCAGAGATGNCCAAGAGGCAGCTTTGATGAAAGACATGTTTTCCAGTTTTCTAGATTCTAGAGAGAAATAAGAGCTTTTCTCTGTATAGTCCATCGTAGCTAAATGCGGCTACCCTAAAAGCCTCGCTAAGAGGCTGACTGAAGAAGAGGGAGTGAAATCTGGCCGGAAAAAGCCTCACCCGTCGCCGGAGAATAGTAAAAGTGATCGGAATTTGGAGGTTGGTGGATGGTTGGGGTCGGAACAGCCTTGTGAAGAGGCTGTCTGAAGAAAAAAACTTGAGATCAGGCCTGGAAAGGCCTCACGCGCCGGCGCGTGGATGAGAGGTTGCCGGAGCTCTGCCGCGCGTGGGGGGGTCGTATGCCGGAGATGTTTTTTGGGGTATTGTCGCGGCAGGGTTGGCTCTTGGATGGTGGTGGTGAAATCCTAGGATTCATGATTCTCAGGTGCCTCGAGGAGCGTGCCTGAGAGCATTTTCTCTGTTAGGGCTTATTGAAAATGGTAAGACATGAAACTCACTTGGTAGCATTTTAATAAGCCCGATTCCACAATACATACGTCCTCAAGGTCATAGACTAAAGCAAAAACTTTTGTTTTTCCTTCAAGTATGACTCTCAGTTAAGTTGAGCATTGGTCTGGTTCTAAGCCAGGTTACCCTCCAAAAACGCCACCACACTTGAACCAAAATAATCCTTTTTCATTTAGAATATGACCAAGACAAAATAAGGTTGAAAAAGATAAATATTGAAAGAAAATAAGTTATTATTGGCAGGGAAGAACAAGGAGAAAGGAATTGGAAGGAAGGAAAAAATGGAAAGTGAAAGAGAAGAGAATCAAAATAAATACATGACAGCAAGCTCTGTTAGTTGGAAGGAAAAACTAACCACTGACTTTAGCCTATACCCTTGAGATATTTGCATATAGGGTCACCACTGCGCTTTAGTCTAAAACCTTTAGAAGTTTTGTGTAAATTTTCAATGGCCAAGGGATATTTGTTCCATTAGCACAAAATAGTGCCATAAAATGAAAATCGCCTTATTTTGTAATGTTCAAAATCCATAGAATTTCAATTGAATATTCTTTTCCTAATATGTTTCTAATACTTGGAAAAAATGTAGCTTAAACAGTTCTAGGTTACGTACAAACAATTGTATGTATAATGTATTAATAAAAGTCTGGCTCCTTTCCATCTCTGCTTCTTTTTTACTTATTTTCAGTATCAGTTGTGTCTTCATCCAAAATTAATCTAACATAGCATGTGAAGAAAATGGATGGTGAAGATTCATATAACCGAGCCAACTAGCCTGTCATTGAGGCATAGTTGTTTTTGTTGTTGATAATGAAGTAAGATGTGTCTACAAAGTGCCTTTCGTTAAGTTTCATAGTATTGCAGTGGCTGAGAGAATTTTGAGGTGTTCTGATCATTTGGGTAAATGAAAGAGAGAGAAATACAAGAATCTTCTCCAATTACATTTTGACAGGTGGATCTGCGGGCAAGTTGTCTGCTTACACTGATCCAGAAAAAGTTGTCTACTTACCAAAACCACAAATGTGTTCACAAAAAAATTACACCATTAATTGGATAGGAAGCTGGATGCAACAGTCCTCCATCGAGACACAAGGTTGTGAATAGAGGAAAACAACTTACAGTTTCTCCATCTGTAACTGTAACTGCCCCACTAGCCTGCCTCCCTATAAGACCTGTCTCAACCGTTATCTGTAAAAATGCAATAAACTGATTCAGAAGATAGATAGCTCAATAGCTCAGGAAGCTTATTGTATTAGTTTCAAGTTGGATCGATTAAGAAAATAGATAACTCAATAGATTAATTTGGAAAATAGATGAATTAAGATTTAAGAACATAGACAGCATAATAGCTCAAGTTAACTATAGAAAATATTGTATATGTTTCCCCATTCCAGCATTTCGTTAACTTAGATTGTGGAAACTAACTTGTCATTTTCCTTCACAACTATCCGAAATCTTACTCCGGCCACTTGCTTCAACCAACACTTGGACATTGTTTTGAGTATTTAATATTCAAAAGATATCACCAAAATAGTATCATGAAACCATATCCTCCATCTTATACAATTATCACATGTCACTTACATTATACTCAACCAAACACTAGAAAATCATCAAAAGTTAATTTCTCTAGGTGAAGCACTTTTCAGGAAAAATAATTTTCCTGCATGCCAAACACTTCTTCATGCAAAAGTATATTTATACTACTCTAGTAAGGTTAAACCCCTCCTTACAATATTTAGCAATGCTAGGTTCAGTAGAGACTATCCATTTATTTTAACACTTGGTCAATTGCCCACCAAGTCAACCTACAAATGGAACAGAAGAAACATTACTTATTATTGTCATATTTAGCTACAGGAGAACCAAACTAGGAAGTAAAATTTAACTATCTTCCTCAAGAGCCAAACAAATTTAAAAAAACAAGTAAAATAATGCACATGGAAAACAGTAGTGACGCATTTAGAAAAGACAAGAGCATTACATGTCTATCCCCAACGGGTATTCGAACAGAGAATGGGGAGGCTTGAACTCCAGCACTACCCACAGCCCAAACCGACAGGTCCTGAGGCTCCGCTGAAGCTCTTACGGAGAATTGAGTTTTAAAACTTCGGCTAATGCTTCTTCTTCTTATTCTCTTCCTCTTGTCTCCCAATGAGGAAGCAAGGAACTGATAGCTTCTGCTGTGAAGCTGTAGAGGGCAAGCGGAGGGCCTGCACAGTTCGTTACGAACTGTTGGTACAAATTGTAGAGGTCGTCCATGGAAGCTAGGGTTGGCAAGCATTTCTACTTAGCACAAACTTTGAGTGCTAGAGAGACGGATGAGAGAAACTTTATCCGTTTTCTGTTTTTGTTAGAAAAGCGGCGGGTAAGGGTTTGATTTTTGGGAATGTTGCACAAATTACAGCACACAACATATTACAATTGGCCAAATGCCCTCCGGCCACTTAAACTTGTACTTATTTGTAAGTTCCGTAAATAAACTTATAAGTTTTCATTTGAACACTTGTACCTGACGGAATGGATATTACTAAATACTTTTGATCGTTAACCATGCTTATGTGAAGGAAACATTACTGACATAACAAAACTGCGTGCAAATCACACTTAAATAGCGCATGAATATAATAATTTGAATAAAAAAATATTAAATAAATAAAACTCTATTAATATATGATAAAAGATAAAAAGAATAAATAGGCACCCTTTTTTTTTCTTCCTCCCACCTCCTTCCTTCCCACCCCTTCTCCCTTATTTTTTTGTTTTATATCCTCATCCATCGCCCAAATCTTTCCTCTTATCCCCTCTCATTCTTTTCGGTATTAATCTTTAATTGAAAAGGAAATAGAGTTTTTTTTAGTATGAGCATCTACAGAGGAGAAGGTAACCCACAAATAAATTTTGGCAGAAGGAAATCACATCAATTTCTCATATCTGGTCATTATTCCAACAAGGATGTTGATTTTGTGATGAAGTTTTGGCGAAAAAGAAGGCTATGTTCTTCACATTAAGTGTTTGGAATATTTTTTTTGGAGTATGTTCTTCACATCAGGCTTTCTGATCTGGTCACTATTAGAAGCTTCCCTATTTGGTCAATGCTCATCTCTTTTCCCTTTTTAAGAAAAAAATTAACAGCGGGGTTGAAATGCCATTTTTGATTTGTTTGCTTTATGCCAATGGACTTGGAGGAAGGAGGGTTTCGATGGAGATGGTGATTGAGGTTGTTGAAATTAAATGGGAAAAGGTGTTTGCGCAGAGACAGTGATTAAAAATTAACAAAGTAGACAAATACGGAGAGCAAACTATTCATTGCTAGCTAGAGACATTACCGGCGAATTCTCCATCCAAATTGAGTTTTTTGCTAGTTTATGAGTTTCTCGCTGGTCTAAGTTGTAGTGGAGGAGAAGAGAAAGAACAAAAATTAAGTTAAAATTTTGATAAATTGGAATTAAAAAAATGGGACCTATAAATTACACATGTCAAATTATAAAAGGTTAAGCATATGACATATTATTTATGTCATAGCGATTGAGGAACACGCTCAGGCGGATATGTTTATTAGTCCTCATTCTATAAAGTAAAGGTGCTAAACTTGGGAATTCCTAAGTTTGTTTACCGGGTTGGTAATCCGATGCAAGTTTAAGTTGCGAGGAGGCCATTTTGTCTATTACAATTTACACCTACATAGTCACATTTTTCGTTTACAAACCACATAGCCAATATTATTTTATTTTATTTTTTGAAGTTGTATGNATATATAGTAATATACAAATGTATGTCAACCTATTATAAAAGTGTATAACAATGTATAAAAGTATATAAACGTTGCTAGCGATACTTACGAACGCCTTCTATGATTTTCAGTTACAATGCTTGTTCAAAACCAGTCCAAATCTCCACCAAATAATTTTAAATTTAGTAGACAACCTCCTTTAACTATTTCAACAAATCTAAACAACACCTTCTCCAAAGTTCTCATAAAATCAGATTTGAAATTTAAACTCTTTTCTTTATGTTTGTTCAACAATGGTAGGTTACCTTCCTAATCTAATTTTCACCATATAAATCCTACAAAACCAGTAATTTAATCACGATTTGAGCTTCAAATATAATAATAAATCGAATTTATGAACTATCAACCAATAGAAGCCATAAACACCCAAACTTTTTATCTTTCCAGATTCAAGCTTCTCCAAAATTCATCAATAACGAGTTTCAAAATAACCGTAACTTTTTGAAATGCTCAAGGTGTTTTAAAGTAGTTTTATGATTCTTTTGATTGTTTAAAGTGAAGTTCAAGATGGTGTAGACGCGACCATACATTATCCAGCAATAATGGCAAGTAAAATTAAAGTGTGGCATGGAACTGAAAGCGAAAGACAAATAGAGGGATAAATAGTAAAGCAGTAATGAAAGGTAGACCATGTAAAATTTTATTTCACTATACATCATGGGCCTATCGAGTAATATACAAAATATTGAATAGTTCGGTTATGATGTTGGATCATGTGACTCGTGATCTTGATTATTTGGGATTGAATGGGTGTTATCGAAATCATCTCAATCAAACCTAAATTTGAAACTCCCAAGACTCAAGACATTACTTCCTAGTCCCTACTAATTATCTATATCATGAGCTTTTCTATTTTTTGTTGAATAGCTATTTCAAACTCATATGTGAAATACTTAGTTCCTAACTAGAGGCTTAAAGTTAGAAGAGTTGACCAAAATCGATATTATAGGTAAATGATCCTAAATTAATAATTTGAAGATTCCAATAGGTTCATATGGTGATTTTATACTTGTATGTATATTTGATTTAGGTCTCAGGTGGTTCGGGATTGATTCGACACTTCTAATCGAAAGTTGAAATTTTTGAATTTAAGAAGGTTTGAGATTTTTAGCTTGATGCTTGATTCTTTGTCTTGATATTATTTTTAGTATTTCGAGACTTTAGACACGTTTATATAGGGTGTATGAACATGTTAGAATAGTCGGACGAGGTCCTGGGGTGCTTGGGTGAGTTTCGGGGGTGATTTTGCATCATTTTGAGCTAAGTTGGAATTGTTGGTCTTCCGATGCACAACACTGCATTGCGATCTTGTAAAAGGATCTGGAGTAGGGGATGTTGTGCTTCATGATTGTGTGAGGAGTTTCATGATCGCGTCGAAGCTGGTAGTTTGTGCATCGCGGTCGCGTGAGGGCAGATCGCGTAGGAGCCAGGCCAGTAGGCCTTTACGGTCACGTGAACTTAGTCGCGATCGCGGTTAAGGAATTGCTCCAAGGGTATATTTTGTCATATTTTAGGATTTATCTTATTTTTACCATTTTGAGTTTTGAAGAACGGGAAGTAGAGATTTTGAAGAGGGATTTCGCCCCAATATTAAGGATAGGTAATTATTGCTTGGATTTGATCTTATATCTTGATTCCCAACGGATTTATACACCTAAAATATGGAATCAAAGAGTAAATTTGAGATTTTTGTTTAAAACTTAATTGAGTATTATTAAGGTTTGAACACCGATTTAGACTCAAATTTGAAAATTAATTAAATATTTGGACTCGTAGGTTATGGGTCAACGGGGATCTAACCTTTGACTCGGCTTTTGACCATTTGGAGTGGGGTTAACTTTTTGTTGACTTTTTTGATTTGATTATTGAATCTTTATTATTTGAAATTAATTTTTTAACAATGTAGTTTGGTTAGATTTGGAACGTTTGGTGGTAAACATAGAGTGAAAGGCGTGATTGGAGGCTAAAGTTTGTTGAAAAAAGGTACGTATCTTGCCTAATCTATTGAGGGAATAACCTTAGCAAATAACCTTGTTTGATAATTGTAATATGTTAGGAGCAGCATGTATGTGAGATGACGAATGTATATATGAGTGTCATGGTTTATTCATGCTCGAGATAAATTCTAGACTTCACTATGCCCTGTTTGATTGTCTGTTCTTCTTGACTTATGTTTTATTTGAATGTATGACTATGTGAGTTTATTTATTCATGCTAGAAATTATGTTTAGATCATTACATCTTATTTCAACATGATGGGATATTCTTGAGATTATTGATATACTTGATTTAGTTGTAGTCATACTTTATATCATGAACACACACATTCGCATTCTTGAACATATGTGTATATATTTAGAGATGAAAATGTTGATGTAGATTGATATGATTATGGCACATCTGAATATTTTGAGCGATTTGATATTATTATTGCACGAGGTGTCGTGCGTTTATTTTGATATGGACTGATGTTATAGCTAGACATTTATGTCATGCGGCGTGTGAACACTGATTCATCCCTCTTAGATCACCCTCCCATGTTTCTCCCTTGGTGGTGTACTCATGGAGTTTGTGAGACTATGATGAGTATCAGATTGTGATGGTTTTTGGTTGATGAGTTGGGCATAAAGGTGGAAGTTTTGATTACTTGAGTGAATCTTTTATGTCATATCATGCATTTTAGATGTTTTCAATGCATATCTGTAACACCCCGTACATTCGAACTAGGTGTGGATATATTAAATGGGTATTAATTTGATATTGTAGACATATGAAGTCCTAACGGGATGATTATGGGTGAAAATAGTTATTTTAGGACCAAGATGGAGAATGGGGTGCATAAGATTCGATAAAATCGACTAAGTTTACAAAAGGTCCGGCAGTTAGTGAAAATGTGTAAGTAATTTGGGAAAACTCAAAAGATGAAAGTTGTAGGCCTTTGAAATAGATTTCCAACGATATATTATGGACAGCGAACGGATCTTTATGCAAAAAGTTATGTGCATTTTACATAACATTATGCAATATACGCGGCCTGAGCGCGGCCGTGCCCTGAGCGCGGCCGCGCTCCTGTGGCAGTGTTACTGCCATTTTGTGCGGTCAAGAGCATGGTCAGGCCTACAGGTATGCAGAGGCGCTCATGAGGGGTCATTTTAAAGCCCTACTTCGCCCCCACATCCCCAAAACATAAAAACTTGCTTTAGAAAGGGGAGCTCTAAAAAACCTAACTCCTTGAAGGTCCCTTCACCACCCAAGGTAAGTTATAATGGTGATTCTAAGTTATTTTCAATTTTCCAACATCTTATTAACATAATTAAATCCTCCATATCATTAGATATTCGATTGGGACATCATTGTAGAGAGAAGAAATCATAGAACTCGAATTCAAGAGGATTAAACTTCAAAAAGGTAATGTCTTTACCCTCTAATTGATTATATCATTGGATTAATGATTATTGACTCTAGTTCATGAGATATGAGTTAATGAGTTTGATAGAAAAGCATGAACGGTATAGGTTTGGGGTGTTGATTGTTGATTATTGGTTAAGGGTGTTGTTTACCTTATGAGTGATAAAGAATGATGTTGATTATAACCA